ATGCATCCATTTCTTCCAGGTTATCTAATTTGCTGGCATAGAGTTGCTCATAATATGTTCTTATAATTGTTTGTATTTCTTTGGTGTTGGTTGTGATCTCTCCTCTTTCATTCATGGTTTTGTTGATTTGGGTCCTTTCTCTTTTCTTTTTGATAAGTCTGGCCAGGGGTTTATCAATCTTGTTAATTCTTTCAAAGAACCAGTTTCTAGTTTCGTTGACCTGTTCTACTGTTCTTTTAGTTTCTATTTCATTGATTTCTGCTCTGATCTTTATTATTTCTCTTCTCCTGCTGGGTTTAGGCTTTATTTGCTGTTCTTTCTCCAGCTCCTTTAGGTGTAGGGTTAGGTTGTGTACTTGAGACCTTTCTTGTTTCTTGAGAAAGGCTTGTATTGCTATATACTTTCCTCTTAGGATTGCCTTTGCTGCATCCCAAAGATTTTGAATAGTTGTGTTTTCATTTTCATTGGTTTCCATGTATTTTTTTAATTCTTCTTTAATTTCCTGGTTGACCCATTCATTCTTCAGTAGGATGCTCTTTAGCCTCCGTGTATTTGAGTTCTTTCCGACTTTCCTCTTGTGATTGAGTTCTAGTTTCAAAGCATTGTGGTCTGAAAATAGGCAGGGAATGATCCCAATCTTTTGGTACCGGTTGAGACCTGATTTATGACCTAGGATGTGATCTATTCTGGAGAATGTTCCATGGGGACTAGAGAAGAATGTGCATTCCGTTGCTTTGGGATGGAATGTTCTGAATATGTCTGTGAAGTCCATTTGGTCCAGTGTGTCATTTAAAGTCTTTATTTCCTTGTTGATCTTTTGCTTAGACGATCTGTCCATTTCAGTGAGGGGGGTGTTAAAGTCCCCCACTATTATTGTATTGTTGTCGATGTGTTTCTTTGCTTTTGTTATTAATTGCCTTATATAATTGGCTGCTCCCATGTTAGGGGCATAGATATTTACAATTTTTAGATCTTCTTGTTGCATAGACCCTTTAAGTAGGATATAATGTCCTTCCTCAATCTCTTATTACAGTCTTTGGTTTAAAATCTAATTTGTCTGATATAAGGATTGCCACCCCAGCTTTCTTTTGGTGTCCATTAGCATGGTAAATGGTTTTCCACCCCCTCACTTTCAATCCGGGGGTGTCTTTGGTTCTCAAATGAGTCTCTTGCAGAGAGCATATCGATGGGTCTTGTTTTTTAATCCAGTCTGATAGCCTATGTCTTTTGATTGGGGCATTTAGCCCATTTACATTCAGGGTAACTATTGAAAGATAGGAATTGTATTGCCTGTAAGGTGACTGTTACCGTATATTGTCTGTGTTCCTTTCTGGTCTATGTTGCTTTTAGGGTCTCTCTTTGCCTAGAGGACCCCTTTCAAGATTTCTTGTAGGGCTGGTTTTGTGTTTGCAAATTCCTTTAGTTTTTGTTTGTCCTGGAAGCTTTTTATCTCTCCTTCAATTTTCAATGACAGCCTAACTGGATAGAGTATTCTTGGCTGCATATTTTTCTCAGTTAGGGCTATGAATATATCATGCCAGTCCATTCTGGCCTGCCAGGTCTCTGTGGATAGGTCTGTTGCCAATCTAATGTTTCTACCATTGTAGGTTACATATCTCTTCTCCCGAGCTGCTTTCAGGATTTTCTCTTTGTCTATGAGACTCGTAAGTTTTACTATTAGATGTCGGGGTGTTGACCTATTTTTATTGATTTTGAGAGGGGCTCTCTGTGCTTCCTGGATTTTGATGCCTGTTTCCTTCTCCAAATTAGGGAAGTTCTCTGCTATAATTTGCTCCATTATACCTTCTGCCCCTCTCTCTCTTTCTTCTTCTTCTGGGATCCCAATTATTCTAATGTTGTTTCGTCTTATGGTATTGCTTATCTCTCGAATTCTGCCCTCGTGATCCAGTAGTTGTTTATCTCTCTTTTTCTCAGCTTTTTTATTTTCCATCATTTGGTCTTCTATATTACTGATTCTCTCTTCTGCCTCATTTATCCTAGCAGTTAGTGCCCCCATTTTTTATTGCACCTCATTAATAGCCTTTTTGATTTCTACTTGGTTAGATTTTAGTTCTTTTACTTCTCCAGAAAGGGTTTCTCTAATAACTTCCATATTTTTTTCAAGCCCAGCTAGTATCTTTAAAGTGATGATTCTGAACTCTAGATCTGACATCATACTAATGTCTGTATTGAGTAGGTCCCTGGCAGTCGGTACTACCTCTTGTTCTTTTTGTTGAGGTGATTTTTTCTGTCTTGTTATTTTGTGCAGAGGAGAATAGATTAATGAGAGAACAAAATGCTAGCAGAGTAACAACATCCCCAGAAAATATACTCTAAACAAATCAGAAAAGACCTGAAGCAGTGGAAAAAGAAACGGAAAGAGAGAAAAAAGAAAAAAAAAGACAAAGAAAAAGATAAAGATATAAACAAACAAAAACAAACAAAACAAAACAACAACAACAAAAAATACCAGAATGTGATCAAATATGATCAGGCTGGTATATAGGTCAGTGCCACACACTAGATTTGGGGTGTATTTTGGTCTGTTAGAAGAAAGTGCCTCCCAAAATTTTAAAGAAAGAAAAACTTATATATGTACAAAAATAAGGGTTGATATGATGAAGGGATGGAATATGACTGTAAAGATGGAAATTATAAAAAATTTTATAAAAGGAATTGATAAGAAGTTGTTTGAAAAAAGAAAGAAGAGGATTTAAAAAAAAGAAAAAAGAAAAAAAAAGGGAGAGAATGTGATCAGGCAGGGGAGTAGAAAAAACCATATACTAGAGATTTAGGGTATATTTTAATCTGTTAGAAGAAACTATCTCAAAATTTTAAAGAGAGAACAACTTATATATATATGTCAAAAATACGGGTAACTATTATGAAGGGATAGAATATGACTCTAAAAATGAAAAATAAAAATGTTTTTTAAAAAAGGGATTGATAAGATGTTGGTTGAAAAAGGGAAAAAGAAAAATTCAAAAAGAAATAAAAAGACAAAAAGACAGTTAAAAAAAATTAACTTTAAAAGACTAAAGAATCATGGTAAAAAAGCCGTGAATTCTATGTGCAGTAGTCCCCTAGCGCTGGAGTTCTGCCGTTCTCATTGATCGGTAAACTTGGTCTTGGCTGGCTGTTCTCGCTGATCTTCTGGGGAGGGGCCTGTTGCCGTGGTTTCCAAATGTCTCTGCCGGAGGCGGAAGTGCCCCGCCCTCGCCCCCTCCCGGCTAAGGAATCTGCTCGGGTTTGCTCTCCGGGGCTTTTGTTCCCTGCGAGCTTTCCGTACAGCTTTGGAGGTGGAGAGTGAAAATGGCGGCCTCCCAATCTCCGCCCCGGAGGAGCCGAGAACTCGGGGCCCCACTCCTCAGTGAGCCCCCAGAGTAAAGCAGTCAGTCACTCCCGTCTCCCCGGTCTCCGGCCGCACTCCGTGCTCACCCGGCCTGTGACTGCGCGTTTCTCTCTCTGGCACCCAACCCCGGGTGGAGTCTCCAAACCCAGCAGATCCCCGCAGTGCGCTCCCGCGCGGCTCCTCCCGGGGGAGGAAGGTGAGTCTCCCCGGATCTGCTGCTTGTTGGGTCCCTGCTGGAGGAGCAGGGGCCCGACTGTGCCGCGGATCCCGGTTTATGGCCACCCCGAGCTGAGAGCCCGCGCCTGGGCTCCGCCTCTGCAGCCGGCTTCCCTGCTCCGATACCTGGGAGCTCTGCCACACTCAGGCACCCCCGGTCTTTCTGTGACCCCGAGGGTCCTGAGACCACACTGTCCCAGAGGGTTCCACCCCCCGCTTAGCCACCAGATGTTTTTTTTTAACCGTCCCTCGGTGGGGCAGACTTTTAAAAGTTCCGATTTTGTGCTCCGCGGCTCTATCACTTGCCAGAAGCGGCCGACGGAGGCCCCTCCCCCGCCATCTATCCTCCCGAATATCGCCTCGGATTCACTTCTCCGCATGTCCTACCTCCCAGAAAGTGGTCGCTTTTCTGTTCAGAGAGTTGTTGCTATTCTTTTCTTCGATCTCCTGTTGAGTTTATAGGTGTTCAGAATGGTTTGATCCCTATCCAGCTGAATTCCTGAGAGGAGACGAAATCCAGGTCTCCTACTCCTCCGCCATCTTGCTCCGCCCCCCCCCCCCCCCATGTTTTTCCTTTTCTTGGCAGAAGTTTTGGGCCCACTAATACTTCTTGGCATTGGTTAGCTCTGCTGGTGACACTGAGGAACAAAGTAACTTTTGTGTGCATCCTCCAAAAGAGGGGTAGAGGAGGAGACCAGAACCAGGGTCCTTATGGGTGACCTGATTGGGGGTTAATGATTGTGAGGGTCTGGCAGGAGGGGGGTGGCAGCCAGAGAGTCTGGGATGACTGTAAGAGGAGATTCTAGAATCTTATTGAGGGAGTTGAGAAAGAAAAGAATCAACGTGGGCAGTGAGAGGCATTTGCACACAGTCCCAAAGAGGAAGGCAGATTGGAGTGCTTGGGGCTGGAACCTGGACAGTAACAGGAGAGGAACACCTTAGACCAAGAAACCATAGGCAGCCCAGGGGGCTGGGCTTGTTGAGGCAACCTAAGAGGGTTTCGATGTCCTCGGTTTAGGCCATAACTAGGGTCAGACATAGGGAGACTGTATCTAATAGCTGAGCTAGGATGAGAATTCAGGCTTCCTCAGCCCCATTTTTTTTTTTTAAATCTTTATTTATTTGACAGACAGAGACAGCGAGAGACGGAATATAAGGAGGGGGAGTGGGAGAGGGAGAAGCAAGCTCGTTGCTCAGCAGGGAGCCCGATGCGGGGCTCGATCCCAGGACCCTGGAATCATGACCTGAGCCGAAGGCAGACGCTTAATGACTGAGCCACCCAGGCGCCCCAACCCCATTTGGTTTTAATCACTTTCTGAATTCTGTACCATTCTCCCTCCCTAAGAATTTCAAGTAGCACTGCTGGCCATCATATCGTCAAACAATGGACAGTTTATTCCTCTGAATATTAATAATCAACAGGATAAAACCTACAGAACTCAGATCTGCTCCCCCTTGTACTATTAGGTTAATTCAGTCAGGTCATTTCCCGTTTACTAAATCATCCCACAGTAGGATGTTACTTAGTGTCATTATATCTGGATATGACTGTACTTATTTCCTCCAAAATAATTTTAGACAGAGGGTGATGCTGGAATCGTATGTCTTCATAATGATTAGTGACTACAGGGTACTTTTCTATTCATTACAGAACCATAAGATTTCAGAACTGGATGAAATTAATAAAAATCAGCTAGTAAAAGCACCTTCTTTTAATTAAAATAGAACTACCATGTGACCCAGCAATTCTACTTCTGGGTATTTATCCAAAGAAAACAGAAATACCAATTTGAAAAGATACATGCATGCCTAGGTTCGCTGCAGCATTATTTACAGTAGCCAAGATAATGGAAGCAACCTCGGTGTCCATCAACAGATGAATGGATAAAAAGAGGTGATATATATATATATATATATGTGTATATATATATATATATATATATATACACACACACACACACACACACACACACAATGGAATATTACTCGGCCATAAAAAAGAATGAGATCTTGCCATTTGCAACACGGATGGACCTTGATGTTGTTATGTGAAGTGAAATAAGTCAGAGAGAGACAAATACCCTATGGTTTCACTTATATGTGCAATCTAAACAACAAATAAACCAAGCCAAACTCACAGATACAGAGAACAGATTGGTGGTTGCCATAGCGAAGGAGGGTTGGGGTGGTGGGCAAAGTGGGTGAAGGGGGTCAAGAGGTACAGACTTGCAGTTATAAAATAAATAAGTCATGGGGATGTACAGCATGGTGACTATAGTGGATAATGCTAGAGTGCACATTTAAAAGTTGCTCTTAGCAACTTGGTAGATCTTAAAAGTTATCAGAAGAAAAAAAATTTCGTGACTTTTTAAGGTGATGGATGACAGACTTACAGTGGTGATCATTTCACAAACATTTCACATGTCAAATCATTATGTTGTATACCTGAAACGAATTTAATGTTAAATGTCAAGTACACCTCAACTAAAAAAATACTTTTTTTATTAGAAGTGAAAACTAGAGTTCAGAGAGCTAATGGTGGGCAGATATGGGTCCTGTGTGGTCTTTGCAATTCTAAAATGTCATGGCTGTTGAATCACAGTTAGAAATGACAGCTAAAGACAGGTCGTCTTGGACAAATGTCTCATTGACAGTTGTCGTTCAGACTATAGAAACACGTGGGACATTTCAGGAAACGCTTCACAGTGATCGGTGTTTAAAAACTTTCTCATGAGAGCACACACATGCACCCATACACACACATACACACACGTACCCCACCCTCTTCTCCGGTTACATTTTACAGGGTCTGTGAGTGTGTTACACAACCAACAACCTCATGAATAAACTGCCACAACGTTTGCTCCTTTGAAAAACTGCTGAGACAGGGATAGGCCTGGAGTACAAGCCAGCCTCCATCTTCCCAGAGGACGACTCTCTGGCCCAGAGCACTCTTGGTCACTGCCCAGAGGCGTCCCCCTCGCCGGGCCGGCCCGAGAGTTGCTGGCGGGGGCGGGGGGGGGTGCGGATGCAGTGGGCATAAGATTCCTGCCTGAGCAAACCTGCATCCCAGAGTGGAACAGAGCCGGCGAGGAGCTTCCTCTCCTCTCCCCTCTTCCTTCCTTCTCAGGAGCGTAGGCTGTGTAGCCACAAATGGTACACAACACCCATCAGGTTCTGTCATGACACGAACCTCTGAGTTTGCGAGGGCGGCTGTAACGGATGACCATAAACTCAGTGGCTTAAGACAACACAAATTTATTCTCTTACAGCTCTGGAGGCTCGAAGTCTGAAACCAAGGTGTCAGCAAGGCCACATTCCCCTCTAAGGCTCCAGGGAGGACCCTGGCTTGTGGGGGTGGCCAGCACTCCTTGGCATTCCCTGGCTTCCCAGGGCCGCCTCACCTCTGCGGGTCTCTGTTTCCCAAGCCCTCTCCCCTTAGAAGGACGCCTGTCCTTGGATGGAGGGTGCACTGAATCCAGTAGCAACTCATCTTCACTTGATCACATCGGCAAAGACCCTATTCCCAACTAAGGCCACATTCACAGGTACCAGGGTTTAGGACTTCAACCTATCTTCCTGGGGACACCATCCAACCCAGAGCAAGCGCTCCTGCAACGGCTCGCTCTCCGCGCTGGTCTGTCCGCACCTGGCGAGTGCGCGGGCCTCACCCTTCGTGGTGTGCTCTCCCACCGAGCCACGGTCGCAGGGCGAGCCCCGTGCTGTCCTCCAGGACGAGGAAACGCTCACAGCTCTTCGCTCACTCCCCTACCGTCCGAGGATTTCCTGCCACGGTAAGCCTCTCCTCCTCAGTTTTAACTCCTCATTCGATTCACATTCCCAAGGTTTGTTTTTCTATGTCTCTTCCTTACATCTTGGCTCCAACATGCATAATAAAGGAAGTGTGTTTGCAGCATTGGTTCAACCACCAGTGAAGCCTTTTCCGCCAGTTCCCCAAGGCCAACATGGAACTTAAACACAAACACCATCCTGAGACATTGCGAAATGATGCAAAGAGGGAGCGGAGAGGTCATAAAATAGTTGACAGGAGCTACTGGTTTTTGAAGTACGCCTTAATTCCTAAAAGGTTTCAATTTCTTCTGTGTTCATTTTATATACATCATTACGGTTGTATCCTTCATGTAGTTGCTGAAATTGGGGATCATCTCCCTTTACTTTTGGAGTGAATAGGATGCAGAGGTAATTTTCTCTTAACGTTAAATGCCAGCATTTGTGCAGAAGAGAGATTTCCACGGGGCTCCAAGGACACTTGACCGTTGATCAGTGTTGGCTCTGCTGCAGGCTAACTTTGGCTTCTCACGCAAAGGCCTAGTTGAGCAGCGTTTACCCAGAGGAAAGCCCAGCTGGAAGGAGCAGGATGACACGATGGAGGCTGTCACTCAAAGAGCTCCAGGTAGTCGGGCGGCTCGTCCTGCTGACCGCAGGGGTAGAGAAGGAGCTCTTTCCCCAGGGAAGTTATGGGTTCCTCCTGTGAATCAGAAGGCAGAGATCAGGCTGGGCTGTGGGTGGGCAGGTTGTTAAGACAGTAGAAATAAGAACGTCATGCCCTCCCCTGCCTCCTCAGAGTACATAACTTCTTGTTTGCCCTTGATTTACGTGAAGCTTTATTGGTTTATGGCAATCTTAAAAGAGATTTTCTCATCTGCACATTGCCATATATTCTTTTTCCCTCCCGGGCTTGAGTTCTCACTAAGAGTGGTCTCAGGTGCGATCAGTGTGTGCACAGACTTTGAGCATCTCCTCCATTCTCTGCCCCAGCGCCTTCTCCCTATCTGAGGAGGAACTAGGTTCAATGATAAAGGAAATGTAATTTAGAATCCTGATTATCCGGAAGAATTATCAAAGACTAATCCCCCCGTTACTCATCTCAATCTTTCTTCTTGTAATTGCCTTTCAATGCTAAAGCTGCTGCAGGACAACCATTCACAGAGCAAATTCAGCCTGGACACCGGTTCACCTTGTGATAGTCCACCAGCGCTGCCAGGGTGGTGTGCCGCAGCCGGTCCACGCCCAGGAAGCTGTAGGAGTCCGTAGAGGCATCTATGAGGAAATGCTTACAGCCATCCTCAGACAGATAGGACAGGGCATAGCCTTTGATCCTTTCACTGACACGGATCAGAAAACTGCCCGGCACGCATGTGCTCAGAAGTTCATTTGCTCTCTTTAATGTCAGAATACCTGCAGGAAAGAAAAGCAGGTATTTCAGCCAAATCATTTCCAGAACTGTCTTCAGTTATATAGCTGCGTGGATAAAGTTTAGTAAAAAGTAAGAGCAACTTCCAGTCCATTTTGGACTTCTTCAGAATGCAGTACAGTATCACTCATCTGGCATTCGGTCACCAGGCAAGCGGGGTAGGTGACAACAGCCAATGGATAATATAAATGAGAGCGTCAGTGTTTAACCTTCAGAATACGTTTCCACCTGTGCACCCGGTTATAACACCACAGGTGTTAGGTGGCTTCTGAGTCTGGTAGGACCCTTTACAGGCATCCTGGAAGCGTTCGATCTGGGAGGGGACTGGAAGGTGTCCTCCTCGGTTTATTGATGAGGACTCTGTGGCCTGGAGCATATTCCTACATGGTCTTAAACAGTGGTTCTCCACCAGGACAATGTCTGGAAATCTCTGGGAGACATTTTTGGTTGTCAGGGGCAACGGATCCTATGGGTATCTGGTGCATAGAGGCCAGGGATGCTGCTAAACATCCTCCAGTGCGTAGGATAGCTTCGCACTACAAAGAATCATCCAGCCCCAATATCAGTAGTGCTGAGCTGAGGAGCCTGGTCTAGGAGTCAGCAAGTTAGTAAGAGAACCAGGAGGGACCCAGGTTTATGTCTTTCTACTGTAGTTACTCCTAAATGATGCTTCAGTGGCATTTAAAGGAATAAAAGTACATACACATATGTATATGTGGATATACATATGCTCATATATTTATATTTTTCTATATGTTTGTCTTCACATATATTCAAAATAAAGCTTCATTTATATGAAGTTTTATATGTATATATACTTTAGAGGCCTCATGAATTCATACTAATTCAGACCAGCCTTTTCCCCAACTAGTCCAAACTCATGAAGTTTGACTCATATTCCCAATTTCCCTTATTCCTATTGTAGTTCATCAGATGAATCAGTGATGTTGTGAGACATATGGAGAGTGCACAAACACATCTTGGAGAGATGGTGAAGTCATTCACCTAATCAGCGGGCTCGGATTTGGGAGGAGGAGCGGCATTCTCCCAGTGACCCCTTTCACCTCAGCAGATAGAAGCTCTTACTTCTGTTCCACTGTTAGCTCCATTGTGAAACTCTGTATCTTATTATTAGGGAACCTCCCAAAAAAACCCTCCTGGTGAAAAGGCAATGGATGGATTATTATAGCCCGTTAGTCTTGTTATTAGTAAAGTTAATTGAGAATTGAACCCTAATTATCCAGAGCATGACATCAAATAAAAGCATCGCTGCTTTCTGGGGCGCCTGGGTGGTGCAGTCGGTTGAGTGTCTCATTCTTGATTTCAGCTCAGGTCGTGATCTCAGGGTCATGAGATCGAGCCCCACACTGGACTCTGTGCTTAGTGTGGAATCTGCTTAAGATTCTCTCTCCCTCTCCCTCTGCCCCTACCGCCCTGCTCTACCACCTGCGCTCTCTCTCAAATAAATAAATCGTGTTTTTAAAAGCATCTCTCTTTTCTTTTTTGTAAGTAGACCTTTAATAAGGGGGGGGATTAAAAAATCGCCCATTCCCTCCTAGCCAAGACCAACCAGCCAGCCCTCTGTCTTCTCTTCTCCCATGTACCTTTCAGGAGGCCCCAGAGCCTGCACCTCAGAGTCACAGTGCTCAACCCCCGTGAGGCTCAACCCCAGTGAAACACCGGGATAAGAACTGGGGGTGTTGCAAAGGCTTGGCAGATCCCCCCACTCACAGATAGGAAATATCCCTGAAACGGAAGAGTCATGGCCTCTCTTCTAGGGCCTCCAGCTCTACGGCATCGAGGCCCAGCAAGGTTACTGATGCCTGCGCATTATCTCTATCACCTCCGGTTACCTTTCTGCCCTTTCCTTGATGAGACCCGAGCCAATGGAAACTGCAGGCACCACTGACAGTGAGCGAGGGTCAGCTGCGGCACTGTCCACTTCAGGTGCTCAAATGATGCCCCTGTAAGGTCCAACAGATACGGACTGCTGCTTCTGTTGGTCTAGTCTACCTTTTTAAACACACCTGATCCTACTGATAAATTACAGATGACAACCATAATCTGAAACAAGGCAACAGGTAACCAGCCTACCCAGGGACTAAACATGACTGAAGTTTCAAGACTCTGTATTTGATTGTCTATGAAACCAGGGATATTTTTCACGGACACTGAAACTACCCTTCAGAGGTGAGTAAAGGAGAAGCAGCATTCTGGAAAAAAGATTTCTCTCTCCTTCCAGACTTATCAACAACCTAACTCTGAAACTCCAAGTTACTTCAACAGATGGGATAGATGTTATAATTTATAACATCAGCATGTTATCCAGATGGATTTAGGTTCCTAAAATGAAAGCTATTCTGGAAAATTATAACTGAACCTGGGCTAAGTTAGGTTAAATTCCTCCTAAAATCAGGTCAGATAGTAGCTGTAAACCAAACTTCCCGAAAGCCTCTCAAACTGTAATTATTACCCATTACACACAGATCTCGGCACTGTGTAATCTCCAGAGACACCAGAACCCAATAAAATGATTTTGTGGCAAATCATAATGGAGACTCAAACACAACGGTTCTGAAGGCAGGTTCAGAAGTGAAGTGCTGTGGAGACCACGCTTTGTTCTTTTTGCTTTACAACAGGATTATCATTCCAGAAGAGCACACTCTTTTGGCTCATCTGATGATACTTGTCCATGTACAATTTGTCACGATTCCATCGAAGGAAGAGAGGCCTGGCTATGACTGCTGCCAAGCAGTGAGCTTTGTCTGCCTGCAGAGAGAGTCCCTGACTGCAAAGGCCGAATCCAGTGTCTGATATTAATCGCTGTGAACTTGGGCAATCTCCTTACCCTGGTGCATGACTCTAAGAATTCTGAAGCAGTGGCCTTCATCCAGCTCCCTAAGGGCAGGGATGCCTCCAGGCGACCTCCCTCTGACCAGCTCTCTTAACACATACTCTAAGCCTGTGTGAGTGCACAACAGGATTTCTGTGCTAGTGATGAGGGGTAAATAAAAAGCTCTCTTTTATTTCGTCAATTTTTGAAACGAGCCAGATCCTCCCCCAGCCCCGCTCTATTTTAAGCGGAATCCAGGCAGCAGTGCCAGAACAACTACAGTCCAGAAGGAAGCAGATGTCACTGCATGAGGTCACACCGGACTGCTTCTGGCTCTTGAAGAGCCCGGGGCAGAGCTGGCTACAACCCCTGGGAGCCTGACCACCCAGCCTGGAGGTTCACAACAGCAGGAGTTGAGAGGGAGCAGGGAGAAATGTCCCACTCCTTTCTCTGCACGATGCCAGGGCACGCACCAGGACAGTGCTATCCAACAGAATTTTCTGTGGCAATGGAAATGCCTGGGCTGGCCATGTGGAGGCCATTAGCCACATGTGGCTATTGAGGACCTGAAATGTAGCTAGTGTTACTGAGGGACTCAACCTTTAGTTTTATTTAATTTTAATTAGTTTTGGTGTAAAGAGCCACATATGTGGAGTGGCTACCATATTGGCCAACACAGCTTTAAACCCCACTGGAGTGAAAGGAGAGCTCCATGACAGGCCCAGAAGGACTATTTTTTTGCACAAAAGACCCTAAGACACTTGAAATAACTCAGAAACCCTAGCATGGCCCTCACTGGAAATCCAAGTGGCAGCAACAACCCTACAGAAGGAGGGCAGGTCAGTGGGATGCCCTTCTCCACAGCTTCCTTCTGGAAAATGCCTATTCATTCTCCAAGATGCAACTCAATAGCATGAAGCTTTCTGAGCAGTAAGTCAAGGTTCCTCTGCACCTGCTGAGCACCTGTTCCCACCTCCCCCTGAGACTCCCCTGGTCTATCCAGGGTCTCCCCTAGCTCCCCCTCCATCCTGGCATGTACCATCCACAGCTCCATCGGAGTACTCACAGCACATTCTACTCTGTCTCTCCCTGCCCCACGTCCTTGTGATCTCGGAGAGAGCAAACACCACATCTTACTTATTTTCACACTCTTGGCACCTGCCACTTACAAGATGCCCAGAAAAGGTCTGACGAGTAATTCTGTCTTATAATGGGTCCAGAAACTTTCTTCTCTGGGACACTTCTATGCAGCCATTGCCTCTAGTCTGAGCATTGTTATGTATAGGGACAAGGGATGCACCACTAACTTTGTTTATATGTGTACATCTGTATGGCCTACGTCCAGAATCTGGAAAGTATGTGTTTAAAAACCAAATGAAAGGTAACCAAATAATAGTAGCATATGGAGTTCTTAATGTTTGCCTGGCACTCCTCAAACAGTGCCTTACTTCATTTAATTCTCAGAGCAGCCTGACAAGCAGGTACCATTCCTACTCTCAAATCTCAGATGAGCAAAACCTGCATCAGAGAGAGTTCATAATGTGCTTCAGGTCACTTAGGCAGGCCAGGAGAAGCACTGGTCTTGAACCCAGGCAGTCTGACCCCAGAGTCCAGGCTCTCACCAGCTCAACCAGAATGCTACCCCTGTGCTAGCATTTTGCATTGCTCAGCGTGCGTCCATTTGCTATTTCATTTAATTCCCAAACAACTCAACACAAACAGAACTGGTATTATTACCATCACCATACAGATGGGAAAACTGAAGAATAGGTATATGCCCAAGGTTATAGGATTAGTTAGTGATGGTTTCAGGTCTCTTGTCTCTCACTCAAATATTTTGTTTTTTAACCCCCATTGGGCTCATGAAATTTTCCTGAAATTGGCTGAAATTAAACCATGAATATTTATTTCACAAAGAGGTGTTCATTTCTAACCTGGGCAACATAGAGCAGGGAGGCGAGGGGGGGAGGGGCGGGGGGAGAATCCCGAAGCAGAGTCCCAGTTCAGCGTGGAGCCTGATGCAGGGCTTGATCCCAGGACCCCGATATCATGACCTGAGCCAAAATCAAGAGTTGGACGCTCAACTGACTGAGCCACCCAGGCACCCCTGACCCAGGCAACATAAAGAAGATGCATTTGTCAGTGATGACT